AGGCGGGCGGAAAACGGGGAAGGGGGAGCCGCCGGGGCCTGCCCCTCGGAGGGGAGCGGGCCTCGCCCTCCGCGCCGCGCTCGCCCCGCTCCCCGAGGCGGCGGGGCTGTGGGGGGGAAGCTGGACGGGAGCCGGGCCGCGGAGCGGAGAGGTTTGGGGCAGTCGGGGGAGCGCGGGGGGCCGTTGGAGGTGTGTGGAGGGGTGCGGTGCCAGGTCGGGGTTCTCCCCCCCCCACCGCGGGACGGTGGCGAAGGGCGCGATTCTCTCTTCTGCGTGCGGGAGTGAAGCCGTCTCCTTGAAATCCAGGCGCCGCCGGGAAAGGGGCTTTCCGGCACGGTGTTTTAATTAAATATCGCTCTTAAACTTTTTCCGCCACAAAAGACGTCCACCCTCTTCCCACGCCAGGCCCTAGAGAGAGGGGAAAAACTAAGGCCGAAAGAATTTAGGATGCACCCCCAGGGGTTGTTATACCAAGGTGAGAAGTGCTGGTTAAAGTGCTTAGCTGTAGTGGTCGACGAATATAAGGGAAGCACGGTTGATGTAAAAGGGTGATACGCTGACATGTAGTAAGAAAAATAAGCTTTTGAGTGCCATGTGTTTCTCAGAGGGAGATTCTGCTTTAATATAAGGGAACCTGAGCACTGGTGAGTTATTGATGGCTTCACACAGATGCATGAAAAGGTGATGGTGGTGCTAGCGGTTAACTTTGATGACCAGTTTAATCTTACACTATGTGCAGGAGCTTTATTAAAGATGGTTAGTACTGTAGATTGTGAGTTAAACCTTGCACTGTAGGAAGGCTTAGGTGGTCATAGGCCATTTGTTTACTTGGGTTTGCTGAAGATCACTTGCAAAAGTTCCATTTGGAAGCAAGCTAGAAAAACATAGGCAAAGAGAGAGGTGAGAGACCTTTAGGATAAGAACCACTTTGTGCACTTATTTCTGAATAATTCCTTACGTGCTTCAATTTCCTCCTTTTGCTATACTAAGGACAAAAATATTGTTGGGAGAGAAATAATGTTTATTAACTAAAGAGTTACTTAGAAGGGGAGTAAGTGTCAATTAGTTTTTCTATACTACATTGGCTACCATCTTTGCACATGTAGCGCACATCTTATACTTTGAGATCAGCCTTCTAATGTGCTTAAGTTATGTCAATAAAATCTTCACTAACATTTCCCATTAACAGTGGGAACTTCAAGATAATCTTTAGAAACTTTGAGCATTTAATATTTTTTTTCTTATTGTATCAGAAAAAAGTCATTTGAGATTTCTTTTTTTATACTAGAATGGGCGATGAACAGATTTAGGTAGTTTCATGTAGTCTTAATGTGAAGACTTAGTATTGGTATGGTGAGGAGATCCAGTTGATTCTATGAGGTACCTTCTTCTGTCTCCCAACCTCATATTTCTTTTTCTGATACATTTGTGTTCATGCTCCTATCCCTTATGCTTTGTGTAGAGATAAATAAATATCTTTTGAAAGTATACTTAGCTTCAGATGTTTTGCTGTGTTTTTGCAATTCGCAGTGTATATTACAAGAAACCCTTAAGCTTTGTCATAAAAGTATGGGTTTTGCCAGATTAAAACAAAGGAATTTTGATGTATTTTGACAAGTTTTCTTGCACCTAGAAAGGTTCAGAATTTAATTATCTTCATTATAGGCTAGTTTGCATAACAGCAGTTTTTGATGAATGCTTATAAGGAGAGGGCAGAAATCTGTCCCCTATAAAATTTTGGAATATGCTAGCAGCTTTTTTTCCCCTAATAGCGAGAAGTGTATAGTATAGGCCTTTTATTGTATGTTAGGAAGAAAACAGTAACACCCCCCTGCCCGCCACCCCCCTCCCCCTCTTTTTTTCTTAAAACTTTCTTGGGAATTACCAAAAAGGAAAATTTCCTTAGATAGAAACATCTTAATGTGAGATCTTTGATACTCCACGCACAGTATCCTACCTCATCTCCTGTTTATCTTAACTAGCACTCACCTGTGGTACGCCTTCCTGTCACACTTCAGTGTGCCCCTGAATGTTTGAATTTTAGTGCCTGTGAGTGTGTAATAGTGAATCACCTGATTTGGAAATCACACTGTACCAGTTTGCCCTCATGGTTTTTTTTTTCTAAATATGCTTCAATCCTTATTTACATTAATTATTTTTTGATGCATACTGAACAATGAATACTAAACTGAAGAGCGGTATTTTTAAACAAGTTAGCATATAGGATCAAGAATAGGAATAGAATTTAGGATTGAACAGTAGCAGGCTACTGTTTTAGCACACAGCAGCCTTTGTTTACTGATGAACTCTTACTAGTACATAAATGAGACCCAGAAGATGTCATGTTTGGCTTCAAAACTAACCTAGGAGTTGTGAAGGCATTTGTGAAGGTCATTAGACCCACATTTTCCAAAAATTGATAGTGTAGAGTATGGAAATGTCACCAGCTGAAGTATACAAAAGCTGTGTGTGCATTGCGCAGCTAACAAGTTGGAAGCCATTTGAGTTTCCTTAGGCCAGAATCTGAGTTTTTAAAGAGTTTTCTGTGGGATCAAAGAATCTGAGTGCCTGAAGTGTTTGCATAGATTTAATTTTCTTGTGCTAACCAGAATAAAGCAATGGGGTTCTGGAATCTGTACAGTGGTTGCATGTGTTCAGCTAAATTAGTGTTATGTCCTTCAAGTCTATTGCGGTCTCATCGACATACAAGATAAACAAGGAAATTATATTCTGGAAATTCTGGGAAGCTTGGGAGATGAGCACGTAGCTTTGGGAGTAAGGTGGGAAGGTCATGGACGTGCTTTGTTTTTTTTCTCACATTTGATGCTGAAGAAAAGCACCATACAAGAAAACTTGCCTTGTATGGGTTAATTACCATGTTTTATGATACTTCGCTGTATTCTACCTCATAGGCGTAAATATTCTAGCAACTTGTGAAAACTTTCAGTTCTCTAATATCTAATGAGAATTTTATGTTTTCTGTAGCAAGAGCTTCCTTTTTAGACTGGTTGGAAAGTTTCTGTACCAAATACTCTGGTTTTCGTTGTATTGTATTCTCCCTCATTGATTTTTTTTTATATAATCTTTCTCTTAACAAATGCAGGGTTGGCTTTTTTTTTTTTTAGGAGGCAAGGCAGGAGCACAATAATACCTAATATGTGTGCTTTTTTGAGATTAAAGGCGGGAAGATGAGCTACCTAATTGGTAATGCCACATAAGCTTCTTCAAGGGGAAGTGAAATTGGGAATGTACTTCAACAAAAATTAGTGGTTCCTTGCAGGAGTCTGAAATACTCATGTCAGAAATACATAATAAATAGTTGACTGAAAAAATAGGCTATGGCTTGCACAAGATCATGTTAATACTGTCTCAGATAATTTGAGTGTAGTTGTTGGTAAGAAGATGATTTTCACAAAATAATAATTTTGAGCTGCAGTATGTTCTAAACTTCATGAAGTGTCATGACACACCAAACATTTCTTGATCCAGAAGAGGAACTAATAGATGCTAACAGGTTATCATTGCTTTTTTTAGGTTTTTCGAGTTTCGCAGGTTTCTTGTTTTTCTTTCGTTCTCTCCTCTTTTGTTGCATTGACTCTGTGTTTTTTCTATGCTCTTTGCTGTCCATATTTTGTCAGGAATAAATCTATACTTGTAATAGTATTCATGATTATCTCTTTAGATTTTTTTTTCTGAAGTGACACATTGCTATATCAGGATAGAAACTGAGTGAAACCAAACTGTATGCCTTGCTTACATGTTGAATGCATCATATAATGGAATGTATGATGTCTTTTTCTTAAGGGCGGGTAGGATTTCTGCATCTTTTACTTTTGGCAGTAGAATGTTACTTTTGTTCTATATTTGGAACCAAACTTAGATTCTAGAATAGCAGTATAAATTTTATTCTTTTTTTAGTTTATGTTCATTTGTTAGACTTAAACTGAGGAATAATGTTGGCATACTTCTCCCTCTTTGATGTTTATTCTTTTAATGAATTGTTAGATTTATCTTCATTCCAGTTTTATTTTGGTAAGCTGACTAAGCAAGACTAATTTTTCTTTTATACAACAGTCGTATCAGTAGCTCCATTCTGTAGTTCTTGTAATTAGAACTACTTTTTCTTGAAAACAGGAATTCAGAATTGTGTGTGGTATTCCTGACAAGTTGCTCATGTGCAACAATGTTCATGTTTCCCTATCTCTATAGCAAAGAAATCCTTGATGTGCATTTGCCTCTTCCTCCCCCCCACCCTTTTTTTCCCCTGTACAGCTGCATCAGTTCGTAGTTGACCACGGAATGACTATACTCCCAAACAACAAGCCCTGACTTCATGTAAGAACCTTGTATCAGTCCCTACGTGCAGGAATCTTGCATTTCATATGATTTCATTTCATGTGGCTTCTAGTATGCCATTTTTCAAGACCAGTCACTTGTGTGCGAGATACTCTGTTCCCCTTCTGTTGCAGTGCTTTCCACTTCTGTCTCATCTAAATCTACCTATACTTTTCTGGCAGCTTTGTTAAAAAAAAAACAAAAAACAAAAACAACAACAACAAAAAAAAACAAAAAACAAACAACAAAAAGTTCAATATAATTTTTGGAGGAACTAGTAGTTATTTTCTAGTCCAATTGTTCCATGTTTGCACCATCATACTGTATCTTTGTAGAAAGTTTCTTTCTCATTTTAAGATTACCCTCTTATCACATTTATTTAACCTCAGATGATTCACTGAGTCCAGATTGCATCTTGTTTGAGTTTCCTTTTTTCAAGGAAACGACTGATTCATTTTTTAGGTGTTGGAATAGTCTAGTATGTCCTAAATCTGCTAACACTTACTGCATTTTTATCCTGTTTTCCTTTTAGTACAATTGAATTCAGACCACTAAGCCTGATAATTTTTTTTCTTCTTTAAGTGTTAATTACAGTATTTTTTCTCCTCTCTAATTATATGATAGCATACTTAATTTGATTTTATTAAAGTGCTTATTGCAATTTTTTGGGACAGCTCTAATATAATATAACATAGACATTTTGTCAGCTCCCCAGCTTCAATATATTGGCCTCCTCAAGTTATGCTCTTACCTTGCAAGGTGTCAATATATTTGCATTCCCACTAGGTAGCCTGTCTTTAGTGGCATTATTTGTATTGGAAACTAAGGCACATTTTATCATCAACAGTACCTCCACAAAATGGTATCACTTCTTCTGAGTTTTTTTTAATCATTATAAGTGGTTTCACTACTCTTTTGGAATGTAGGGAAGGGTTTTGTGGGTAGAGAAAGAGGTAGCACAAGTGATTCTCTTCTGCAGAGTAGAAGTAATAATGCAAGGTATCCCTTCAGTTCCTGAGCAACAGATACTGTCCAATAAGATGCTTGATTTCCATTTACAAAAACCATTGAAATAGGGTGAAAGATCCCATCAGTTTTGTGCTGCAAATATTCCAGCACCCAAATGTAATTTCCCTGGAGGAGTTCCTGGAACTAGTGAAAACGGTGAAAGCATTTAACACTCGATATTAAGGTATCTCTATGACAGTGTACACAAATTAACTCTCAAAGGGCATTCCTGAATATGCCTTATATTCAGGTACTTGTCACCTGCAAGAGTACAGGTGAAGATGTTCCTTATACCAGTTGGGAAGGAAAATATTTTGTAAGATATTTTTGTAAAGTCAGGATAATTTTCAAAGACGACAACAGTCTAAGTGGAGGATGCTTTTTGTTCAGTTCTCCACAGACAACTAAAAACTGTTGGTTATGCATGTGTAGTTTGATTAGGTGTACATAACAGTGCCTTCTTGTGAAAGCTTGAGGAAACATTCAGACTAATTCATAATTGTAGTTACGAAAAAAGGGAGATGGATCAAATCAGCACCAAAGTGCTATTGAGAAGTGAAGCTATTGGCAATAGCGAAGAGCTGCATCTTCTGAAGAGATGCAGAGATCTCTGTAAAACTTCCTCCAAATCTGGCAGCTCCCTCCTCAACTTGCTTATGTTTTTTGCTAAGCTTTTACCAGAAACATAGGAGGGAGGGGATGGGGGGAGTGGTCTCTAGTCTGTTTTTTCACACCTCCGCCTCTGGGGTCCTTCTTTAGTACATAACCACGGTTCATGCCTCTGCTGTTGCTCACTGCTTTTTGAGGCAACAACATGGTTTGTCAGAATTCTTAACAGTCTCTTTGCTGCCCCTGACCCTGGATATCGGCTGGGAAACCACCCAGAATCAGTGGTGCTGTTTTCCTAAGCCTGTGGGCATACAGCAGTAGTTCATTGATTTGTGCTGGGTTAATGTTTGGAGAGTAGCTGTTGATGTGAAAGGAATTTCAGAACAGCAGGTGGGTGGTTGGAATTTCTCTTCCGAAGTTTTCTTTCCCACAGCAGAGATGTGGTTCAGTGTAAAGAAATATATTTTGTATCTGAACATACTGGATTTGTTTTGCAAATAAGTGCTTCCATTTCTCTTAACTCTTCCGATTCATTTACATGGTAAAATATGTATGCGGCAAGCTGGATGTCAATTTTTATAAGCTATGGAAGCTCCTGGTTAACTTACTATGTGAATACCTACATTAAATGTCTGAAGTAGATTATCTAGGTGACACTGGTGGCTGTTATCAGGACCTGTCAATCTTCTGGGAAGGACAGGTTGGAGGCTAGGTATTTAGTGCACAGTGATTAGACTGATCCCCGAGTCTTCTCTTCTCCAGCATAAACAGTGCCAGTTCTGTCAGCCTTTCCTCATATGATAGGTGCTCCAATCTCTCGGTCATCTTTGTGGCCCTTTGCAGGACTCAATTCAGTCTGGCATGTACTGGGGAGCCCAGAGCTGGACCCAGCGCTCCAGATGTGTGCCACTAGTGGTGAGTGGAGGGGCAGGATCACCTGCCTCAACCTGCTGGCAACACTCCTCCTAATACAGTCCAGGGTGCTGTTGGCTGCCTTTGCTGCAAAGGCATGTTGCTACCTCATGTTCAACTTGGTGTCCACCAGCACCCCCAGGTTTCTTTCTGCAAAGCTGCTTTCCAGCTGGTTGGCCTCCAGCTGGTACTGGTACCTGGGGTAATTCTTCCCAAGGTTCAGGGGTTTATATTTCCCTTTGATGAACTTCATAGGTTTCCTGTTGGCCCCTTTCTCTAGCTTGTCAAGGTCCCTCTGAATGGCAGGACAACTGCTCCTCTATTTACAGCATAGTGAACTGTTCTCTGACTTTTTTTTTTTTCCCCCCCCCCCTGTAGACAAGCTGTTCAGTCTCCTAACTGCCTTCTGCAGTGTGGCAAAGCTTGCTTTCTTTACCTCCCCGATACCATTATATGGATGGTGTCCGTAGTGATAAAAATCATAAGGCTCTTGAAATAACTCTGGCTTTATAGTCAAGGGTCTTTAAAAAGTTTAGGGGAACGCCTTCTTTACAAAGTAAGCTAAAATTTAGAGATTCTTGAATATGGTAGGGATCTCTGGGCAGCAAAGATAAGTTTCAAAATGTAATTTTTCAAAATGTAATGCTCACCAACATTGCATGCCGTGTATCATCATATTCTTTTCTGAAAAGTGTTTATGGTAATGTAAAGGCTAGTAACTAAAGCTGACTTAAGAAATTGTACTACTGACTGAAAATATTGCCGCTTGTGTTTTTTCAGACGCTCCTATTGCAAAAGCTGCTGTTGAAAAGAAACAATTTTTTTTTATAAGAAGAGAATGGGTAAGTTCATCATTTAGAGGGTTTTTTTGTTTCCTATAATGTAGGAATAATGCTTATTCCTATAAGCATTTTCTCTCTTACATCAGTGGAGGGTGGATTGTAAGACTTTAAATGTTGATCTTGTTGCTGTTTTTCCTGTAGCCTCAAAAATTAATGGAACTTCCTACAAATGTTTTCTAGGAGAATATTCTCAAGTGACTGTTCATTTGTCAAAAGACTTGTTCGGAGTGCATCTATTTAACAATTTCAGTTGCTTAATATCCATAGTGTTGAAAATGTACATGCTAAAATAGGATGTCTTTAGACTTTTATAGCACTAAACTTTTAGATAGTGGACAAGAAAATTTCACTATGTACTGTTTTAAATATTTTGTTTGTTTGTTAACTAAGGCCAGCCTGTTGAATTCTGGCTAAGAGATCATAATAAGGACTGATTTCTGATAAATTATATTGTGTGTGTGATCTGACTAAATGTCTGAAACTGTTGTATCTGCCTCTACAAATGGCTGATTAATGAAACATGATTGTACAGATTCTGTTTTTATCTATACTTTTTCTGAATGTATTTTAGGATATTTGGCACTGGCAGTACTTTACTAAAATTGGCACTAACTCCATGGTAATTCAGTTTTAACTTCAAATTCACAAAGGAACTTAATTAATTGGGGGAATGTTGTATTTGCTATAACAGTAGATACAATGCAAGGTACTTATTAATATAATTTCTATTTTTTGTTTTGTCAGAAGGAGAAACAACACTAACAATGAAATGTCAAGTTTGTAGTCTATATCTGTTTTATCTTCCATACTTCTGCATGGGATCATGAAATACTGGTGGTATATTACTTTTCTAGAAGTGTACAGATCTCTTCTCTTATACTTTTCCAAGCTGGAAGAACTTCCAGGACTTTCATTTTTAACTTTCTGTCAAGATTAATCCCTTTCTGAAAATCAAATTTTATGTGCAGTGTCAAATTCAAGTAGTTTTTAATGGAATTCTAGCAATACTTGCTATATTAGTCCCTTAGAAAATACAGTATTTGAAGGAAGGCATTAACTTCCCAGTTTGAATTTGATAGGAATTGTATTTTTAGTAGGGTGGGTTGTTTTTTTTTTACACTCATTTTTTCAAAAATATTTTAATATTACTGCAGTCTTTATTATTTAAGAGTTTACAGGAACATATAAAGACCAACTACAGAGACAGTCTCCTTAGTGTCATGGTGTCCTATAGTGCTGAGCATCATACGGGCACAAAGTAGTCAGTGGTTCCTACCCCAGAGAGCGTGCTGCCTAAATAGACAAGACAGGTGCAAGATGCAGAAACTGTTAAGACTGCACAGAGTGAACAGTGCAGTGATGGCAACAGTAATGTTGTTTCAACTTCCAAGATAGCGCTGTTAGGAGAGAATAAATGAATGAACAAAAAGGGAAGGGGGATAAGGGCTTCTAGAGAAACAAAGTAGAGAGCAGGTATATAGTGAGACAAAAGGGAGAAGGGAAACAGAAAACGCACAGCCAGAACTGCTGTGGGGAGATTTCCAAATTTCCTTGATTTTGGTGCTTTTGCACTTTCCCTGTTCTCCACCAAAGGTCACAACACGGGTCTGCACTAACGCTGTATGGTTCTGGGTCTGGCTGGGCAGTGAGGGACAATGAATCTTACTTCATGTCATTTCTTCAATACAGGACTACTGACTGCTTTTATTCTTAACTGTGCTTCAAAAAGCACTTTTTTCCTTTCAGTCTGTATTTTTACATATTAGATATGCATTTAGGTAACTAAATGTTAAAAAAATCCTACTTTGCAAAAACTCTTACTTTAAAACAGGTTGCTGAGCACTTCAGAGAATTCATCTTCAAATATGCAAAATGCTTCTGTCATTTCTGGTTGTATTGGGTTCTTCGGTCTGCAAACGTAGTCATAGAAAAGACTGCTTGCATTCTTAGTGCTGTGAATCGGTCATTGTGTTCTGAAATTGTTAATCTGTTTTCTGTTATAGATGGAGAAGAGAAAACATATGGTGGGTGTGAGGGCCCAGACGCTATGTATGTGAAGTTAATATCCTCCGACGGCCATGAGTTCATTGTAAAAAGAGAGCATGCATTAACATCAGGAACAATAAAAGCTATGTTGAGTGGACCAGGTAGGTACAAAAATTTTAGTACCTTCACATCCTTTGTTTTCACTTTTGGACAGTTTGAATTTATATTGTTCAGTGAGTGAAAGTTGGAATAAATGATAACTTTTCCAGATCCTGCCTAGTTCCTGTTTCCAGTGGAACAGTCCACTTCTGTAGGGTATTGTGCTACCAGAGATATAATTGGACTCTGTCCGCTTTTGGATAGTTAGCGATCTTAGTGTCATTACTACTCGTTTCCCATGGTGTGAGAACTTGAGGGTATTACATGAAATGTGTAGCTGTCAAGTTCAAAACAAACAAGAGTTGGTAGTTCTTCATTGCCACCTTCATGGTTGAACTTTTAGTATTCTGTACTGGGTCTGGCTGGCATGGAGTTAATTTTCTTCATAGCAGGGCATATGGTTCTGTGTTTTAGATTTGTGACAACAACAATACTGCTAACACACTGATGTTTTAGCTATTGCTGAACAGTGTTTGCAGTGTCCAGGCCTTCTTTGTTTCTCAGTCTTTCCCCCAGCCAGTGAATAGACAGGGGGCTGTGCGAGAAGTTGGCAGGGAATACAACCAGGCAGATGACCCAAACTAACCACAGAGATATTGCCTGCCATATAGCATCATGCTCAGAAGTAAAAAGGGAGAGGAGGGCGTTAAGGACGTCAGCCATCTTTTCCTTGGGAGCTGGCTGAGCATCAGTCTATCCATGGGAGGTGGTGAGTGATTACCTTTGCATCACTTGCTTTGTTTCCTTTCTCTCCTTCCATTTGTCTTTCGCTTATTAAACAATTTTTTATCTCAACCCGTGAGTTTTCTAGCTTTTACTCTTCCTTTCCTTTTCCCTTGTCCGCTGCAGGAGGAAGTGAGCAAATGGCTGTGTGGTGCTTAGCTGCCTACTGGGGCTTAGGCCACAACATGTTCACAAGATCCTGTGGCAAGGAGTTCCTGAGCTTAATGACAAAAGTTAGCTTAAGTTTGATAGGAGGGTAGATAAACTTAGAGAAGGGAAGGACCTCACATGTTACTGAATATATGAGACTACTTCTGGTTTAAGTGTCTGAACTAATTCTTGAAGACCGAAAGGGTGGAGGAGAGAACAGGGAGAAGTTAACACCTGTGCTTTTCTTCTGTACCGTCATCCCGTACGTTTACCTTTGGCCACTTGAGTGGTGGGCAGTAGGCTACATGGAGCTCTGGTCTGAATATGGTCATTGTATATTCTTTTTCAGATTCCGGTGAGGGAGATTACTGGAGAGATCTATTTTGCTTAGTATTTTTTTAAATTACCTAGTAATAGTTGGGCACACTGAGCAATTAAAATTCTCAGCTTAATGTTCCATTAAATGTCATTGTAATGGTTGCATTTGAAAATATGTAACAGGTCTGTTGTGTCTGATCCACTCCATGTCAGCCTCCCAGACATGTAAAAGGAAGAGTAGTTACAAGACCTGCTCTGAATTTGTTCCACAAACAATGTGAAGGAACAAAAGGCGAAGTAGCCTGCTTAGAGGGCTAGAAAAGTGACTCTGTAAAGCAGTGAGCATTCAAGAATATTTTGTATAAAAACTAGCAAGATAAATGGGTTCACAAGGAAAAGTACTCTTCCTGTCTAGTTCAGTAGGTCATAATTTCACTGATGTGTAAGTGTTCTCTATTTCAGTACTATGACATTGCCAATATGCTAACATTTCTTCTGTTGCTTCCTACTCTTCATGTGCTAGAATTCAAGCCAGATTGGCTTCAGTGCATGCAGCTATTTCTACACAAATATGTGTAGACATTAGTAAATAGCTCTGCTTTGTAGTTAGGGGATTCCTATAGAAATAGCAGGAACCAAACACTGCTGGGTCTCCCATAAATGTGGAGCATACGCTAGTGTTTTTTGTATTGTCTTTCAGCTTAACGAGTTGAAAGACCAGAGAGATGAGGAAAAGAGGGACAGAGACAACAGTAGAAAGGCTGTAGGACTAACCACATGATGACTTCATATCATCCAAGTTTCATGCTTATAGGCACTATAGAAAGCTAATTTTGAATGTACTTGTGTTTTGATATGTGAGCTTTGGATAAGTTCTTCAGTGTCCAATAGGGATAAACTCATACTGTATGTAACCTTACCTCCAGAACAACTACGATTTCCCTGTCCCTCCTGCCTGCCTGTTTTCACAGCTTATCAAGTTAGTGTGTCTTTGAGGTTTCGACCCTCTGTCAAATCTGCCTGAAACTGAGAAATTCAAAGCTAGTGGGATCACAGAAGGGACTACTGATAAGCGTGTATATGCAGATATGAAACATCTATAAACCATTTTTTTCTTGGATAAGATAGCTAGAAATTTGGATTGATACCCTTTTTTTTTTTTTTAATGTTGTTACTGTGACCTTTAGAGTTGAGTACACTACAGTTTTAGAGCACCTATCAAGCAAGCATCAGAATTAAACCTAAATTTCTGGTGTAGTTGTTCAGAATATTATTAATAAGCTGCAGCCAAAATAAACATTTTGTAATGCAGGGGATCTTAATATTCTTGAGGATTGTGAATGTGGCACATCCTGCTTTACACCGAAGAATCTAATACCCAGGAATATGGGACTTATGCAAGTCTATTTAGAATGTGTTGTATTAGTATGGTAAAGCATTTCATTTTGCAGTGAACTGAGATTCTGACTTTTGGTTTGGTGTTTTGTTTTGTTTTTGTTTTTGTTTTGTTTTGTTTTTTTCTACAGGACAGTTTGCAGAAAATGAAACAAATGAGGTGAATTTTAGAGAGATCCCATCCCATGTCCTATCCAAAGTATGCATGTATTTCACCTACAAGGTCCGCTATACTAACAGCTCTACGGAGATTCCTGAATTCCCAATTGCACCTGAAATTGCACTGGAACTTCTGATGGCTGCAAACTTCCTAGATTGTTAAATAAAATAAATTATAATAAAAAATGTAAAACTTTTTTCAGTATTTAATACATGTAGTTCAGTTAGTAACTTTTTTTCAGATAGCATGTTGCGTGTGTGCTGTTGAGAACTGTAAAGTTCACTGCAGAGGCAATTGCCTTCAGTCCTTTTGCATATAGCAATCATTCAGTTGAAGTTTGTTTTGCTGCTTACACAAATAAGGACCTTTTCACAAACTGAGACAAATAAACAAATATGCCAATTAGTAGATGGCTATGCCTTATCCTTTAGGTGTGGTAGAACTTTCTTTTAATACAATGACCATAGAAAATACTGGAGTTTAGTCTAATGCTCTCTAAAAGTAATTATAGTTAAATACAAGTAGCTGTTTAGGGTTTCTAACTTTCTCTTATTGTTAAAGTTTCTAAACATCTGAACTTAATCTCCTTTGTAAGATAGCTGTCCTTTAGAATAGTTATACTAACTAGATTAGAAGTGCCCTCCCTAAGGTTTGTATATTGATAGCAATACTCCATTTAGGTTGAAAGTGGAGTATGTAGGAGAATGCTTAAGGCTTTTAATTTAAATCATAGTATAGATGTGTGTAAAGGTGTACTTGATACGTTTTTCTTTCAGAACCTAAATTTTCCCCATTAGTAATTACAAATATTTAAGTCACTTGTCTCTACAGTAAAACTGTGATCCTACTGACAGTGGCTTTTAAGGGGAAAAATAACTGTTAAAATCTGTGTATATTATCTTCTGTATAACATATAAGGTTATTCTTAATGTACTGTCACTTGACCTGATATGGATTTTATATGGTTTCAGTTATGGTTTATTTCCATTGTTGTGATTTGGTTATGTAAAGTCCATATTTAATCTTTAGAGTAGTAGTCATTTAAATTTTGTAACATAGGAACTGAAAAGATAGTAGTTATCCTATCTTTTACCTCTTCCTCGACCTCTCCCTTGTATCCACAGAAAAAGACCCTGAAATGTGGAGGTCTCTTACATTTGAAGGAAAGGGCATTAAGCAGATGTTTAAGGAGCTGTTTTATAAATTTCATAGGTATTTCCAATGTTTTTACAAATATTTTAGGAGAAAAGGATTGGCAAGCCACTGACATAATACTGGAGTGGAACACATCATCTCTTGGTAGTTCCTGATGGTAGTTGCCTATACTAACAGTTCTTTGTTCAAAACAAGTTTCCATAAAGAAAAAAAAATTAAACTTGGGACAAGAAGTTGCTTTTTGTTCAGCTGCAGCCTGAAGAACCCTTCTGCCAAAATAATCTGTAAATGAGAATAAATCTAATACATCATAAAAATGATGCAAGAACAATGTAGTTAGCATTTCCATCAGCTGCCACTGCTTCAGCTTTGTTTTGATCAAGAAGTGGTTGTGGTCTTTTATGGAAAAATCCCACTGACAGATGGTGGGACCTCTTTATTGATGTATTAACTCATGGTGAATTTAGAGGACTGAAACTCTCTTCTAAACCTGTTTGTCAACGTAAATACAACTTTGAAGAGATTTTTCTGGACAAAAACTAGTAACTTACATAGACTATGCAGACTGCCCATGGAGGAGTTCAGTTCTGACTAATGAAATTTTACTCTGGGCTTGAACAACACTTGATAGACAAGCTGACATTTGTCAATGTGTTGATAGATTAGCTGACATTTATTCACATCATGTACTTTGGCACAATTTATTGTGTTTAATGTGGGGATGTTTATGACTAGATTGGTTTTCCACGATAAAGCTGAAGTGCATTGCAAGGCGATTGTCTGAAATCCTATGTTTAAGCACTCTGGTCAGTGCTGTTAGTAACTCATTTTCAAGAGCACTAAAAAGATAAACCAGAGATACCCTGTTATGCTGCTTTTGTTAGAGCCACTAGGAATACCCTAAAAGGTCAAGGAATACCGACGTGGATATTTTAGTCCCAACTACATTTCAGTCTGAGCGAATCTTAAGTTCTTTGGCCATTTTTAATAGTCTTGAGGTTCATGACTTGAAGTTAAAAATTATTTAGTTTAAAATGGAAGTAAAAAGGATGTCATTTTTTTTTAAGTGTTTTTTTCTTTTTTTTTTCCTCCCTTTTTAAGCATTCCAAAACAATCTCCTGTTAAAATACATTGCATTTTATGATTCCATACTTCAGCAGCAAGGTAAAATAGCTGGTTTAGTTCTGAATAATAATTTTGTTGTTTTTCCTTCAGCTTAATGTATCATACAGTAGCTTTGAACACTCAGGAAATGCAGTAGTGTCCTAGAGCACACTATTTGCAAAACCACCGGCTGTTAAAACTAACGTGCAGATTTCTAAGGGGGAGGGGGGCAGAGGGAATTAGTGCAATTTCCGTGATAGTGACATGGGTATGCTATTATCAGACGATTGGAAACTTACCACACTTAACCCCTGAGTTCTAAATAAATTTCAAAACTGAAAATTTTTAAACCTGTGTTTCTGTTGATTTATGACTTCTCAGAGCAAGTATTCATATCTAGAATCCTAATTTTCATGGCTATGTGGTGAGCAAATTGCTAATATAATTAGTATTTGGGTAATAGGTTGTGAAACTGCATGTATAAAATTAAAGTGGTTTTTTTGTAATTCTGAAGACTTTCATAGATTTAAAGCATTTCGATATCTTTGTGGTCCTCTGAATTACAAGTATGCACATTTCTCAGTAATAACTAAGTACTAAAAAAGGATGGAATTCCTGAACAGCCTTGAAGAGGATATTTTGAAGACTTAAGGTGTCCCATAATACTCCTTTTTACTTAGTAAGCTAGTCCTGTACCTTGATGGTTCAAATTGATGAACCATTGATTTAGCCATAAAAACTTCCAGATTCTTTACTAACTGTAAGTAATGAGAAAAGTCCTGCTGGGTTATGGTTTTTCATCATTTCAGTATGTATAAGCTGCTGAAGAAGCTGCTGATGGTCTCCAACATGAAATGGTCTGTTCATCTGGAATGATCAGAACTCCGTTCCACAAGAAATGAAATTCCTTTTTGGTTTTGAGGTTGAAGAAAGGAGGATTCACCATCAAGATTCACCATGCCATTATGTTCAAGAGCTGCAATGAACACGACGTCTAAAAGGCATTTCTTAATTAACGGTAGTAAGTGTGGAAAATTGGTTGCTTCTGTCTGTGTTTTATCACCGTATGTCATATTTTACAGCTGTAAGTTGCAGCAGTGGCTATTTGGTTTTTTTCACCCTTCTTGTTTTTACTCTTCCCATTGAAAGGGATTTCCCAACACCTGCCTAAATCTGTTGGTTTATGTGATAGGTAAAGTGGACAAGGAAATTAACGGGGCAGGAAAGTTAACTTTTCAGTCCATATTTTATATGCCTAGTTTTATTTATTTTGTTAAGTCTCAAATGTTGCAGTATAATTTAAGAGAGTAACAACAAAAGCACAATGTTAGTGTGTAGGTACTAAGGAGAAGTAGCAGTTTTCCTAGCTGAAAAGTAAGGGTGGAGGCTGTAGTATAAACTTAATTTCAACAGCTGAATAAGAGAAAAATAGCAGGAACTCATTAATTTAAGATTGAGTGGATTTGGAGATTAAACTATTACGCTGTTTTTCAAAGACAGACCAAAGCTTTGCAATTAGCAAAAAAGGCATTAGGTATTTTTTCCCGTGGAAAAAGTTCAACTTTGAAGGATTTTTTGACAAATAATAAACTGGATTGGAGTTGGATTTCTTTTAAATGTACCTTATTAGGTGGCAATTTTATGGGAAGATACTAATGCTGTGAACTCACTGTCTTGCATAACAGGGCTAGAAAAGAGCACATAGTAGATTTTGTGATTATTATCAGCTACCTCTGAAGCTTGTTTGAGTGTCATCACTAGGGCAGCACAGAGAAAAGAACGGTGAGTTTATCAGTTCAAGTTTTAACAAGTTTTCTGTGTCATGAAATAAAGCTTTGAGTATGTTACATCTAAAATGTAGGTTGTGGTGCAATCTCTTCTATGGGAGAAAGGTCACTGAGATTAAAAAAAAAGGGAAAAAAAGATACTTCTCTCTGTCATTGCCATGTTACTGTTTCATGTTTACAGAATACAGGATTTTCCTCTCACGCTGTGTTGGAGGAGAATCAGAGCTGCAAGCTTATGATTGTTTTTAGACAAATGGGGTACTTCAATGTTTTATCCTACTTAACTTACATACTCCAACAGTTTTTAAGATGTTAATCATGTAATGTTTTGTAGCCCCACTTGTTAAAGGTAGAATTGGAAAATAAAGTTAAAATTGCCTATGTACTGCGTTTTAGATTGGTGAAAGTAACAACTTGAGACTTTTTAGATAAATTAAAATGTTACTGAACAGCGCTAAAGTTGCTGGTTTTCAGGATAGTTTTGTGAGATGAGTTTTTTGGGGAATACAGGCATGGATTAATGCTATTCCTTATTTATTTGTTGCCAATTTCTTTCCTCAACCAGAAGTTACTTTGAAGTTAAATACTGTTAATTCTTTTGATGTTAATTCAAATATAAAACCACCTTTTCAGGTAAGAATTCATAGCTAAGGCTTTTCTTCCCATGAAGAAAATACTACTGGTATCCTATTTGCACTTAATAATAGAAAACCTTTATCTCCAAAATCACCACTACACAAAACCATAAGTAATACATAATTCATGTCTTCGGTTGCTCTAAATTCTTGTTACTCTGTCTAGTAAAACAATGGGATACTTGTTATGCAGGTTAATTCACTCTTACCTAAATAGTTCTCGGTTTTGGTTGGTATCACCAAGCCTGAAAAATATCTAGAATCTAAATGCATTTGGCATAAAGGATTTAATTTCTCTTTTTATACAGGGAAACACTTTCCACGTTTACAATACTAAATCGACATAAAATGTTTTCCAGAAGTGACAGTCCATTTGAGTTAGAATTATTTGTAGCAAACTACTTGTAAACATGTAAATGATGTATCAGTATTGCACTAACATTTAACCTGCTTTCAGATTTGTTGTAGAGCACTTAAATAATGAAAAATACTTGACTTGTAAGAAACAACCATGACTTAACAAGAGAACTGTCTGAAGATATTTAGCTGAAATAGTCAAGTAACTGCTCATCCATTGTGTTTTCATAACATATCTCCATTTCATGGTAGTCATATCCCATATGAAGTCTTGTCTTTCCCAAGGGACATTAAATAAACAAATGCAAACCAAGTGTCATCTTGGGGTACAGGTCTGCAAAATGAAATTCTGCAAGCTCTGTAAGTAGTGTGCAGGGTCCAGTGATGGCAGTATGGAGTCTGATGGGCACATTTGGAGGATTTGCTTCTCATCCCTCAGGAGCTGTGATAGCTTATTGCACAGTTGTGGAAGTTACCCAGGAAGCCTTTTTTCCAGCAATTTTGTTTTGCTTCTAGACTGGCAAGACCAAACAGCTACTTAATTTCATAAATTCCTTATCAGTATCTTCTCCATTGGTTATGAAGTCAAGAGTCACTTCTGTGTATTTGTAATAAGAAAATCAACTAGGTATTCATATAACTCTTGGGCTTACCTGAGAAGCCTTCAGTTCACAGTCTTCAGAGGTAAAATAAAATTACTAAATGATAATTATATTTGAATCTTACAGGTATTATCACTGAGCAGCGTCTGAACCCTTGTATTCGATAGACACGGTAATCATCCTGCTCACATGGGCTCTGCAAATGGATGCTTTTGATGTGGAAGAACTTCTAATGATTACATGACCTTGCACTTTATAATGCATTCATCTATTTGATTATAGGTCCTACACAATCCTCATTATTTTAATTTTTTACAGCTTGTATCTTTATAGGTATTTATCTTCACAGCATTTAAAAGAGTTAGAGGACTAATGGTGCTAAAAAAACATGGCTTGACAATTACTACAAATTGGTAATTATGGCATATTAGTAAAACAGGCAATTCTACTCCTTCCCCTAGCTACATGTCCTCCTTCTTCCCCTGCAGTAATTATAACAACAGTATGTCCACATAATAAGACAGATTCTTTTTCTGATCTGATGGAAAATTATCTTAGTAGTTTAGTCTTCCTGTGGATAAGCTGAAAGGCACAGATCACCCAGCAGCTGCAAAATTGTCAAATCCTGTAAAGAGAAGAAGTGGAAGCATATGACATCTGAGAACAATATTACCCTCTTCTGCAGTCACTGCACTTGCAGCAGATCAGGAATAAGGTGAAACTTTTTTCCTTTTGTCCCTTTGAAAGTTCTGGGATGGAAGTGATAATGTGCCTGTTACTGTTCAGCACTAAGATGAAAATGGAATACACCTTTGATGGAAAACCTAGATTATTGCTAAGGAATAAAACAATAAAATCTCAACACCTCAAAGACATCTTGCAGATTTACGGTATTTTTCATTTTTCAGCTATGTATGCAATTTATTTCTTTTATATTCTTGATAGAATCTGGCCTTGGTTTGCTTCTACATCTTTAGATGGCATTTGCTGCAGGTGCATCAAGCTTGTGTTTATCAGATCTCCGTTCCACAGACTTTTTAAACTTGGTGCCCTTCCTTAAACTGGCAGGCAGGAGTGGAGGAAGTAGTTGGCACAATTCCTTTCAGAGGTAGGCAGTCCTCCAGGCTCGTGAGATGCAGTCTCCTGGTACTGCTGATTATGGTTGCTATGCCACTGGAGTACTAAGGGGAGGTTATTGTAAATGTAAATTGACTTCTGTGTGAGAAGGAGACAAGATGGAAAGCTAAAAATGTATGGTGGACACGGATAAAAGAAATCAAGCTCCCGTGTTATTATAGTGGCAGAAATTGTAAAGAAGCAGGCAGTGATAGTTCAGTACGTAAAGAATGCTATAGGGAAAAAAAAGGGAGGGCAGAGGAAAATAAATGTTTGAAAACATTATGGATAACGTAGGGAATGGAATATAAAATTATAGGGACCCTAATCAAGAAACATTTGACCTTTGTGAAACTGGCTAGATATATCAGAAAATTATCTAATAAATGCAGTTTGAACACCAGTTGCCTTTTTCCTGTAAATGTAAGGTAATGCAAACTCTGAAGAAAAGTGGATTTTTAGATCAAATTCGTGAATATTTACAGAAACAATTTTAATAGGAGGTAAAATTTGTATTATTTGCTCTATATGTTTTTGATATGTGAGTCATAATCATGTATTTGATCAGATCAAGATAGCTTCTGAAATAATGAAGATAACAGATGAAATTCCTCTTACCCCTAAAGTTTTGAATATTTGGGACCTAGGACTGCGATCCTTAGGTTGACTGGTGTAGGATCAGGCTGCATCAGCCAAATAGTAAAGCTTTCTTTTTTAAAAACCAAACAACTATTGCGTTGGCTATCTCTACACCTGCAACAGATTAGGAAGGGTTAACTGCAAAAGTGTTTTCTTCTACATTTTGCACAGGTAAAGGTCAACACTGAAATGAACAGCAAATTACAATATAACT